CTTGTTGACAACCATTCTTCCTGGAATGTGATGAAATCTCCCTGTTGTTTCAATTTGCATTTCTTGAATGGCCAGTGAAGTTGAACATTTTAAAAATATATTTACTCACATTTGTACTTCATCTAAGAAGTGTCTGTTCATTTCAGATGCCCATTTTTGGACTGGGTCTTTAAATTGGGGGACTAATTTTTTGAGTTCTTTATATATGCTAAATATTAGTTCTCTGAGGAGTCACTGACAAATATTTTTCCCATTCTAAAGGTTGTTTCTTCCCTTGATGGTTTTCTGTGTAGTGCAGAAGCTTTTTAATTTGATGTGATCCAATTTGTTAATTCTTTGTAATATTTCCTGTGCAATCAGGGCTTTCTTCATAAAGTCTTTGTCCATAACTATGTTTTCAAGAGTTTTACCTATTCTGTTTTTTAGCAGTCTAAGCATTTCTGTTTTAATATTTAGAATGTTGGTCCATTTTGATTTTAGTTTAGTGCATCATGAGAGATAGGGCTCTAGTTTCAGTCTTCAGCAAGTGAAAAGCCAGTTTTCTCATGATTTGTGAAAGAGGCTATGTTTCTTCCAACAGAGGTGTTTGCCCCTTTGTCAAAGATAAGGTAGCTAAATGTCCTTGGAGTTCTTTTTGCATCTTCTGTTCTGTTCCATTGATCCCCAACTGTCTCTGTCTGTCTGTCTCTCTCTCTCTCTTTCTTTCCTAATACCATGCTGTTTTTATCACTGTAGCTTTTCAGTATAACTTTCAGTCTGGGATTGTGATGTCCCCTGCTTTGCCTTATTGCCCAGAATCGCTTTTGCTATTCTAGGTCTCTTCTGATTCCATATAAACTTTAGGATTATTTTTTCTAGGTCTGAGAAGAATGCTAATTGTATTTTGATTAGGATTGTATGAAATCTGCATAACAGTTTTAGAAGTATGGCCATTTTCACCATATTAGTTCTGCTTATCCAGAAATGGTATATCTTTACATTTTCTGATATCCTCTTTGTTCTCCTTTTTCAGTGATATATATATATATATATATAGTACTGGGGATCAACCTCAGGTCCTTGTGCTTGCAAGGCAGATGCCAGAAACACTGAGCTAAATCCCTGGCATTAATCTCCCTTTTCAGAGTACTATAGTTTTCCATGTAGAAGGGTCTTACTTATTTGGTTAAGTTAGTTCCTAAGTATTTCATTTTTCTTGATGCTAGATAGTATGAACAAGGAAATTATAAAGATCAGAACAGAAATTAATGGAATTGAGACTAAAAAATCAATACAAAAAATCAGTGAATTAAAGAGTTGGTTCTCTGAAAGATTAAATAAAATAGACAAACCCTAAACTAACCTTATTAAATGAGGAAAGAAAAGACTCAAATCCATGCAATTAGAAATTAAAATTGTGAAATCACAAGGGATTCTGCAGAGAATCTGTACTCTAATAAAATGGAAAATTCAGAAAAAATAGATAGATTTCTAGACACATATGAATTGCCAAAACTGAAGCAAGAAGATATACAAATTCTGAATAATACAATATCAGTCCATGAATTGAAGAGGTAATAAAATGTAGCAACTAATTAAAGCCATATCCTGATGGATTCACTCCCAAATTCTACGGGCACTTTAGAGAAGATCTAATGCCTATACTCCTCAAACTCTTTAATGAAATCGGAAGGGAAACAATAATCCCAAAGTCATTCCTGGATGCAAATATTACCCTGACACCAAAACCAGAAAAGGACCCAACCAATAAAGAGAGCTACAGGCCAATCTCTTTAAATGAACATAGAGGCAAAAATCCTCAGTAAGATAATGGTGAACAGAATGCAGCAATCATCCAAAGATTATACACCATGATCAAGTAGGAATTATTGTAGGGATGCAGATATGGTTCAACATACACAAATCAGTGAGTAATACACCACATTAACAGAACCCAGGACAGAAACCATGTGACAAAAACCTCATCTCAGTAGACGCAAAGCATTTGACAAAGTCCATCATCCATTCATGATAAAACCCTAAAGAAAATTGGAACAGATGGCCTTTATCTCAACCTGATGAAAGCCATCTATGACAAACCAACAGCCAATGTCATACTTAATGGTCAAAAACTGAAAGCTTTCACTCTAAAATCAAGATAAGGCAAGAATGACCACTATCACCACTCCTGTTATAGTTCTGGAAACATTAGCTAGAGCAATTAAATAAAAGAATGAAATAAAAGAAATAAGGATAGGACAGGAAGAAGTTAAATTATCATTCTTTGTTGATGACAATGTAGAAGACCCTAAAAACTCTACCATAGACTCCTAGAATTAATAACCTATCATTAATAACCAAATTTGGTAGTGTAGCAGGATACAAAGTCAACACTCAAAAATCAATAATGTTCCTGTATACCAAAAACAATCTCACTGGGAGAGAAATTAGCAAACAAGGATCTTAATGGTATATCACAACATTTGTATAGGGACCACAGAAAAATGACTGGAGAAATATCTTTAAAATGTGTGTACCTAAAGTAGCAATGAGTGCTAAGAAGAAAAGTAAAACACAGAGAAAAAATGTCTGGATGGATGATTTATAATTTTAATAAAATAGCCAGAAAAGTATTCTGAAGAAATTAACATTTAGTAAAAATGTAAAAAGACAAGAACGAGCCAGATGGATATCTGGATTACTTTAGGCAGAAAAAACAGTGAATTTGAAGTCTTGAGTTGTGAATCTGTCTGGAGGTTGGAGAAACAACAGACACTGCAGCTGCAGCTAGAGATGAGAGAGCAAGCGAGAGAGGTGTAGGAAGGGAAGTCTGAATGTAGGAGAGGGCAAGATTATACAGTGCTGTGTAGGTTATTTCAAAACCTTGGCTCTCCCTTTCAATGATACCGTAAACTCCCCTGAAAGACTTCAGTCTGGAGAGAGTCAGGTCTGGGTTTCATCTTTGATGAGCTAATGTTGGCTTTCATGCTGAAAATTCACAGGGAGAAACAAAGGCCCGAGATGGAAGCCCAGTGTGGAGACTTCTACTATAACAGCAGAAATGTGATGGAGGGGACCAGTGTTCAGGTTCTCGATAAATTCTAATATTGGGCTGCGAAAAAAAGAAGAGTGAAATTTTACTCATCTTCAGCATTTAAGCTACTGTTTAAAATGCCCTTGTAAATGGACTTTCCCCAAAGTGTGTGTGTGTGTGTGTGTGTGTGTGTGTGTGTGTACACACACCCTCAATTATATAACACATATATACGAATACCATATGAAATTGGCCTTGAGTGTGGAAAAATTGATTGTAATATATAATCATAGCATAAAAAATAGCATACCATCAAAAATTTATTTTCTCGCACTAAAAGTAACTGTTTTGCTGTTTGGGCAATAATTTCTCATATCATAAGTTAATTACTCTACTCAGGCTACCATAACAAGTTACCATAGGCTACGTGGTTTAAAAAACAGGATTTTATTTTCTCACAGTTCTGGAGGCTTGAAGTCCCACATCAGGGTCAAACAGGATGTGTTTCTGAGGAGGACTCCACTCTCCCTGGCTTGAAAATAAACAGTCACCTTCTTGCTCTGCCCTCACGTAACCTGCCCTTGTTGTGTGCTGGGAGAGCCATGAGGGAGGAAGAGAGCAAATGCACTCTGGTGTGTTTCCTTATAAGGAGATTAAATCTGTCTGATGGGGTTCCAGTCTTAATACTGAATTGAATCCTATTTACTGCCTTTGAGGCATCCTCGTCAAGCACAGTGACATTGGAGGTAAGGGATTCAACATCTGAATTTGGACATGGGGTATTTTCTTGACTCTTTTAATCAATGGCACAGCCTTAACAATAAGTCTCCATGCAGAGCTACTAATGCACAATAGAATGTATAGCCTGGAATTCTTATTTCCAAAGAAAGCTGTATAACTCACTGAGATATGCTTATTGGTATTTGATTTCATTTGGGATAGTTAACACAGATGTAAGAAGATCAGCTCTTCCTCGGAGAGACAGGAGGGTGGACTAAGAAGAAATAGTGCTCTTGGGTGGTGATTTAATCAACAGAAAAATGAAAAACAACAGTAAAAACATCTGGGACAGTACAAGAAGTCTGAAAAGGTTGTGATACACTTGAGGATGGGATGAATTTTCCTGTGATTGTACAATCAAACATGAGCAGAGGCCTGGCAAGCAAGTATATGGACAGTCAGCACATATGGGGCCACACTGAGTCACAAAGGGACATTTATACCATAACACAAGTTAACATTTTAATATCAGTGGCAAAAATGTAACTTTTATTTTAAAATGAAATCCTGGTCATTCTATTTAGGCAGAAGAAACAGTGAATTTGAAGTCTTGAGTTGTGAATTATGAATTATTGTGAATTACCACATTATGCATACATCCATTAGTGTTCTTTATATTTTATTTGGGTTTGGTTAATGTGTCTTCTCAACCAGGCTGTGGGATGCTCAGTGGCAAAGTTGCAAATTGCATCATTCATACATCACTTGGTACATTGTTCTTCGAATGAAAGATTTTAGAATTATATGGCCACTGAGTTCACTTCTTTCTGAGATTTTCCAATTTCCTAATTGTAATTCCTAAAACCTCTTGGAGAATAAGATACTGTGAGGTGGAAATAGTCTTTAAATGGTACTTTTATCCAGTTAAGACTATAGTTGTATAGGACTTTTCTTTCTTTATTTCAGACAATATTTTTCTCTTCTTTTTCCCCAGCCAGTTTTTGTTTACTTCAGTGCACATGACCTAATCATCAGCATTTGTTTAAATCTTCAAGTAACTGAATCCTCAAAGCAGGTCTCTTTAACTCACTTGAATGATATTACAGAAGTTTATTTATCTGCATCTTTACTTCACTAATTTTGAATATCAAGGTTTAAATAAGTGTTATATGAGCTTGTTTGTGTTTTTGCTTGATTATTCATTCATAAATTCTAGGAATTTTAGAAAATCATCCAATAATAAATAGTTTCTTTGTTTTCCTTCTAGAGAACATCAAAGAGGATAGTAAGTTAAAATGGAACCTAACTACTCCTTCCCATCATGGTAATTTTATTTATTATTTTGTTCTGCAGTTTTTAAAAAACTAGACCACACAATTTAAATGTAATTACCAGGCTTCTTACAGATATGCCAAACAAAATAAATTACATAGCTTAACAGTTCCGATATTACAGAATACAACCAAATTTTTACATTTCTTTCATTGATGATGTCTAAAAGCAACTGCTTTGGACACCTATCATCTAGTCATGAATGTGCTGAGAAACATTTTACACTTGAAACCCAATTCTAGATCTTGAGTAAATTTCATGGGTACTTTGATAATATAACTTAAATTATTTGGGAACGCTTATGTGAATATGTGTGGCAGTGGCGTATCCACATATCTGTATGTCTGGACTTTCCAGAATGTGGACAACTCTATATGCTAAATAACTATGTGGAGTCTTTTTTAAAGATTTCTACTTCCCCCCAAAGTAATGTACAGCAGAACAAAAATGACACTCACTCGAGCCAGTGAACTTATTCTAAGCTGTGGAATTCAAATGCGATTTCTGAAGACTTACTGTTTATATTTGAGGAATGGACTGGCACCTTGCTTTCCTCAAAGCTCAGGTTTGACCTATTCACTTCCCATCCCTCCAAATCACAATGTGCATTCAGTACAGATGAAAGAGGATTCAAATAGCCTGCTCCTCAGGCATCAGTAAATTCATACCTACTCTAAAAGAGCAATGTTTGCCCCAAATAGCATATCAATACCTTGCTGCAGTTCTTTCACAGCTTCCCACAGTGTCTTACAGTTTCTGTTTGTACAGCTTTGTGGATATCGTTGCTTTCAGGACTCAAAGGGATTCCGTCCTGTTTGGAAGTGACCGAGGCATGTGTAGGGGATGTGGCCTGTAACGCGCTTCTGGCCCCTTACCTTAAAGCATGCTCAGCAAATGGAAATCTGTGTGACCTGAAACACTGCCAAACAGCCACACGGTCCTTCTATCAAAATACGCCTTTTAATGTTGCCCAGATGTTGGCGCTTTGTGACTGTGCTCAAGCTGATATACCTTGTCAGCAGTCCAGAGAGGCTCTCCACAGCAAGCCATGTGCCCTGAGCATAGATCCACCCCCCACTTGCCTCAATGTGATTCACAGCTGCCGAAATGATGAATTATGCAGGTGAGTCACAGCACACATACCTTACTCTCTAATTTCAGCACCTTATTTGTTACAGTCCAGTCCTCACGCCTGATCTGGTTACATTAGCTAAAGTTCCCACCATCATCTTCTGTGATGTAAGCCCAGACAATTAATATGTTTGAATCTGTGCTACATATCTAGCATCATTTTTTGAAATTCAAATGCAGAGTAGGTTTTGAGAATGAAGAATGTAAACATGTTGAGGTTTGGTAGCCATGAAATAGCGCCACTGCAATTATTCCTTTTGAACTAGTGAGTTAATAGTCTGGGTTTGTATTTCAGCCTTCTTATTTATTTCTTGTATGTAAGGCTGTACCCATCACAGAAGTTTGGTAAGATGACTCTTCAAGCTTCAAAATAAATCTTTTCTGTCTCAGGCTGGAGATCCTGAAAGGGAAGGCACATTTTGACACATTTTGGACATGTCTATCATACATGTACGCCTTGAGGTCAGAAATGTGCCCCTTCTGCTTGGCTCTGTGGCACACCTAGATTATTATGTCAGTCATGTTATTTGTCCCTTCAAAAATATACTTATGAAGCATCTATTACCACTCTAGACTTTAGTGAACAAGATACAAAAATGCCTGTCCTGTGCATTTTACACTTTAGTGGGAGGAGATAAATACTTAACAAATAAGGAAAATATATATCATTATAAGGCAACGAGAGAAAGAGCAAGAGGAAGAGGGTTGTGAATAACCTAAAAGAAGTGTGGTGGTCCTGGTCTGAATGGAGTGGTCCTGGTCTGAAGCACTTTGTCATAGCTGAAGAGCTAAAAGAAAGGGTCTCTCTGAGTAAACACGTGAGAGGAGAAACATCAAGCAAACTGGCCAGCCAGTGCTAGGAAGGAAATGTGTGTGTTGTGTTAAATAAAAACACTGAGTATGGAGTGTACAAGGAGCAGGGCAAAAGAGATGAGGCAGAGATCAAACTGGGTGCCGTTAGGCAGGCCTAGATGACCAGGGCCTCGAGAGACAACAGAAGATTTTCAGCTTTTACTCCAAGTAAAATGGAGAGGTAATTCGCAGCCTCTGAAATGTATTATGCAGGTGGAACAAAAACACGTAGACCTTATTCTCTTATTTTGGCCCCTTTGAGGGGTCTGAGAAGAGTGATGAATGATATGGCACACTTATTAAAACCTGGACACTGGCCGCTACCTGAGACTAAACTGCATCTAAACAAGCAACTATCAATTAGTCAATTGTCAATTGGACCATCAATTTAGTCCAATACTCTTTGGCTCTGTCTTTTCCTTACTGGAAACTTTATTAGCATATTTTAAAAATATATTCAAGATGAATTTTTCTTTCTAATGGTCAGAAATTCGTTTCATGGACCCCTTGTACAGTAGTAACAAGATACAGGAAAGAACAAGACTATTGATTAACTGAGTCAAAAACAATCAACATTAAATTTTATAATTTTGGATTCGTCTTTTGCTTTGTTTTTTCAGTAATTATTCACTCTGTTTTTCAAGTGCCTTCTACTAGGGACTGTTTTACTTATACAGGGGTACCTTGGTTCACAAACTTAATTCATTGCACGATTCTGGAAAGATGGCCATGGTCATGTTCATCATTCAATGCAGAATTCGCAAACAAAAACAGTATCTTGCCAAACATTTCTGTTTGGGAACCAAATTGTTAGATTCCATTATTTTTCTCAAATAGACTATTAATACCTATGTATCTATCTACCTAGAGTCTATCTCTCATTTATCTACACTATCAATAAAACCTAACCAGTCACAGTCAAGGGGGCAGGATTTTTAGAAAACAATCCCTGTTAAAAATCCCACAAGTTTCCATAGACGGCTGCTGGCTTTGTTGATTCCATGGCAGGGCCTGAGATATGCAAGCTCACCTCGTTACCCTGAGTCATTTGCTCACACTCCTCAGAACGTTATGGGTGAGCTTCCATATTGAATGACACATCTTAATGACAGAAGCTAGCACAAGCTCCCTTGCTCCTCCAGAAGCCATGGGATCTGTTCTGAAGCACACAGCCTCCCCTTGGAATCCACACCCCAGATGGTCTGGTGCAGAGTAGGTGATTTTTCTCAATAAGCACTCTCAGGTTTGAGGAGTTCTTCAAAGTGTTTGGAGCAGAATGAGATGGGCCCTCAAAAGATACCATATCGTTTCCTTCCATTTTTGAAAAAAATTATTTTAATGTACATATAAAAATATATTCTTATATAATTTTTGTCTTTCTTAATGTACTTCAGAGAATAAGGACTGTGTGTCTTCAATTTCCCTTCAGTATGTGCAAATTGTCCCTTAATGAATAATTTATAGAGGTGATAGAAATATTATACAATATTAATACTCAATATGAAGAGACAAATCATCTAATTTTCCTAAGCAAATTTTGCCTTAGGCAGATTTAAAGTATTTATATTAAATTATTGTTAATGCAATTCAGATTGAAAAAAAGGCTCTAAATAGAAAATCTTTTATCACTCCCTTTTGGAAAAAAAAAAACAAAAAATTCTGTAGATGGCAAAGCAGAGTGCTGGGTTTTAAAACATTATTTCTGTCCTTTTTCCACATCAGATTTGGATGGGCTTGGAACTCCTTCAGTTTTTGAAAATAGCAAAGGAGACAATATGAAAACCATTTCTAATTAATTTTGTTGTATACAAATATCCCTTGGGAGATGAGATTATATTTTGCCAATTATAAAATTCTAGGAATTTATAGAAAACTATAAGACATATTTTCATATGTGCAACCCTTAAACATAGTGAAAGAAGTGTTTATTTAGGAAATAGTCTATTTTTTCAAAGCAAATCTCTATAATATACTTATTTACTGTAAGAGGTATATGGTACACTTACAAAATGTGTGTCTCTACATTAGGTCATAAAGGCAAGTATAGTATATTTCATGAGCAGAATTTATACAAACCACATTTTTTAAACTGTTTACAAAGTAGCTGGAAAATATTAGAAAAAATACAAACAAAATACTCTATTTCTTTTCAGGGATGAGTCTTTTAAACAAGAATATGAAAAAATAAGGATAATGAAAATACTATCATCAAAACTATTCAAACCAAATTACAAATTTTAATTTCAAATGTTTTAGGTATTTAGTCTACTGTAGTATTTTAAATTAAATATTCTTTAATCCATTTTATTTATAAAATTTCACTATTTGTTTTCCAAATGAAATAACTCTGTAAACAGGTAAATTATGCAACTTAAATTTAGCAAAACAAGTTTTAAAAAGACTAAATTACATGTAGGTGTGGGCTTATTTTTTAAGTTTCCTAGATGACAATACTTTCAAAACTTATATATCTTTGACACCTTATCTTAAATCACTTAAGGCACATAGTTTTCCCTCTGCTCTCAGAATCATATGTTCATGAAATTTGTAGTTTTCTTAATTATGAATTTTAATACACATAATTAATTTTCTGCATTATATTAAAAATCTCATAATTGAAGCAATTCAAACACAAGACTAATGAAAACTACGTGGCTTTTATTTTTTTTTAGCAGAATAAACAATGTGTGAACAAAGAAGCTCATGTATGTCATGTACTCAGAGAGTTTCACGCCCACATAATGGTGACCCGTTCACAAAAGGAAGAAAGCAATTTTAGGTGATAAATATCATTAGTTCCATTGAGAAGAATATTGTTGTTCTGTGAAAGTTTAAAAAATGAAATCATTGTACATTATCCAGACTTTTATTCAGAGCTATTCCAGAGAGAAATAAATACATAGTCAGGAAAATTATGGTGGATGCAGTTCCAATGGATTAGCCTGGCCATAAAATAAACCTGTAATGTTTTGCTTTACATTAGCTCTTGCTGTCAGAGAGCCTCAAAGCATTTTGTGAATTCTAATTAGTCTGCTTAGAAGTGTGGAAAAAGAGCACAACACCTCCATGTCTGTAGGAAAACTGGCTGGGAAGCTCAAGTGCTTATTTGAAATCACTTGGTGTGAGACCGTGGCCAAATTCTAGCCATGAAACCACATTAGGCTTAAAAAACCTTGCTCCTAAATCTCTCAAGTAGTTCGTACTGCAAATCATCACCCATTTAAATAAAGTTAGTAATGAGGGAAAATGCATCCAGGGAATCCTCCACTTAGCTTCCGTCTTTCATCACAAAGCACAGTAATTCACAAGCTTCCTTTACTGTTTCTTCCACAAATCCTACTGGGAGGTTTAAATGTCCAAAATAATGTTCAACTATGTCTTGGCATCCAGAAATATTTTGTTTTCTTTCAGTGTCTCATTAGGTGAGGGAGCATGATCTATTAATGTGAAACAACATTATTCAAAAGCGAATTCCATTGCTCATTTCTTTACTCTGTTTCTAGGAGGCGTTACAGGACATTTCAGTCCAAATGCTGGCCCCATGTGACTGAAAAGTGTCATGAAGATGAGACCTGCATTAGGATGTTAAGCAAACAGGATGTTACCTGCTCAGGAAATGAGGACTGCATTGCCGCTTATCTTGGTATCCTTGGGACTGTCCTTCAAGGCCAATGCACCTGTAGGGCCACTACACAAAGTGAAGAATCTTTGTGCAAGATTTTCCAGCAAATACTCCATAGAAAATCATGTTTCAGTAAGTTCTTCAGTAAAATCTATCATCTATGTACCACTATATATCTATCTATCCATCCATCCATCATGCATCAATCATGTTTTTGACTATACTGTATGAAGTGATAATCCAGCAAAGAAAATGTATTCACAAAGACAATTTGCAATTGCTATTCCATTTTAAAATCTATTTTCTGATTGTATTCTGAGCATTTGCTATTTTACTCATGTATCAGGAGGTGGTACCTTTTAAAAATTTATATGATAGGTCACTCCTAGTTATAATTTATTGAATTTGACATCAACAACAGAAAAGGTTTAACCTCTCAGATAATTGAATATATCAGATATCCACTGATAAGAATCAAACCACTCCAAAACAACAACCATTTATTTGATCACAATTCTGTACACCAGCTTGGATCAAATGGTGGGTTCCTCTGAGTTTGGTCTAGTATTCCTCACGTAGCTAATGTAATCTGGTGGCTCTACTGAGGCTGAATGGTCAATGGTAGCATTTAGTAATGGTCAGTGGCTGGCCTGGCATGGTTCTCCTCCAGGTGTCCTCTTCAGCAGTATCATCTAAAACTCTGATATGGTGCAGCAGAATTACCAGTGGCTAAGTCCTAATGTGCAGGTATTTATCAAGTGTCTGCCAACCGTCTCACTGTGAACATTCCATTAAACAAAACAAGTCACATGGACGACCTCATTGCCACTGGAGAAAGGGACTACATGAAGATGCATTTACTCAAGGTGAGACTCATCTGGGGTCATTAATGTAACAGTCTACTGATTAGCGCTATCCAAACCTATGTAAAACATTTTTATCTTTCCATTTAGCATTTTCTCCCCTTGGTCTTTAACATGCCCTCTTGCTATTCAGCCTCTAGTGATAATATGGAAAACATGTTTTTTGAAATTATTCTTCAGTCTAATTTAGAGATAAGAAAATTGAGGTTTAGAAATATAAATAATTTGTCCAGATGCTGAAAGTGAGCACATGTCAAGAGGGATTTTCTATGCCATCTAGGGATATGATCAGGTACTAAGTCAAACTGCTCTATTATCCATCTTTAAAGTTAATCCATGCAAATATTCATGTTCTAATACCTCTCTAGGCCTCTGGGCCCCTAGTTGTAGGACAAACCTGCAGGAACTGTTTCCAGGAGGAAATAATTGATAGTTAATATTTTATGACAAGTTGTCTTTGTATTTATGAAAAACGTTGGATAGATACAGACATACACATATATATTCCTATCTATATACAGACATATATATGTCTATAATTATATAGAGATACATAATAGGCATATATCTATACATTCCTATCTTTCCATATACAGACATATATATGTCTATACTTATATACAGGTACATTATTGTATTTCTTTTTCATGTTTGGCTACTATGACATTAATTGAGCAAAATATGTTCAGGAAGAGGCAATAGCAATGGAGTTTTAGAATCCATAAACATTAAAGTACTATATTAATGTTTTAGAATTAAAATTTCAAGACTATTTCATCTTTGTTCACTGGACTTATTTGACTAAACTTTATAAAATTTTCTGCTTAAATATTATTTATTGATGCTACATATATTTCAAGTGATAGGGTTATAGAATTAAGAGGTCCTTAAAGGCCTCAGTCAAAGTTCTTGGTACTTGAATTAATAGCAAAAGTCTTGAATGAAAAACCATGCCCTAGGTTTAAACTTTACCCTCTGTCTCAAATACACAGAAGTATCACAAACACAGTTTTTGAAATAACTATGTTTCTAACCATCACCTGAACTTCTCACATCAGCCCAGCTATTTCTTCCATTTTCAAGAAGAACTGTTACAGTATATATCCAATACTCTTTACCTTCTTCCCACTTCACTGAAAAGCAACAGGTCTAAGTAGAACTAAGTGGCCAGTTTGGAAACTTTTTTCAGTTTGTCCCATCTGTTTAGTTTAGAAATGGCATTTCTCAAAATCCCCTGACCTCAGGACACAGTAAGAAATATATTCTACTTCAGCTTTTTGTTAGCAGTGGATGTTTCTTTAGAAATCATTATCATTTTATTTTATTATCATCATCCTTCTTTTTCAATAAATTACCACTGAATTCATTCTATGACTTACAAATGTGTGGCTACATGAAATTAAAAAAAAAACTCACTTGCAGCATAAATTTATCTGGAAATAATCTACATTGATGTATCCTTTTCAGAGTCTCATAATAATTATAAGTGTTTATAGAGCAACTAGAAGTTGAGTCCTTACACGTTGTCATATTTTCTCATTTAATCTGAACAATTACATGATCTCATACTATTGACTTCTTGGCCTTACACCTGTGGAAGTTGGGAGGTAGATTGGTTTGCCCAGGGCTCTATGCTTAGGTGCAGGACATCATGAACCTTTCGGGCCTACTTTTACTTGGAGCCCATTGAATTCTTTGGCTTGTGAAATTGTAAGCAAAACGAGCTTGTGTTGCATCTCTCCAGGACACTCCAAAGCCCTGTCCATCGGATGCTTAGAACTAAGCTCTGGAATCACACAGAACTTCATCTCATCTGTGAGAAGGACTAGACTTTAACAGAGGCAGTGTGCCACTAATCTTGATTTTCCTGCTGATCACATTCACAACAGTCTCGCTCATCTGTTATATTTTGTAGCAGTGAGTAAACAGGCTGATAGAGAGATAAAAGCCATGGAAGAGTGTGGGGGACCACTCTTTTTTAATATTCCCAAAGCAGACTGTGAGCAGTGCAGGCTGTAAAAATTTAACTCCATAAATCGCTTGTTTTGAGAAGCATCTCCGGCCAAAGCCTATGTGCTGAGGTCAGTGACTTACCCAAATTCTGTTCCCACAATTAAAACCTTCTTAACTAGAAGGACAAGATTATTTGCTAACTACAACCCTATATTTTGTCTGTTCTGTGCCCAATTCAAGAATGCTTTGTCTCTTCCTTTACAAGCCTTGCCTGCATCACTAACATATCCATAGCAACTTCTCATAGTCCCTTCATGTAGCCCCTTTACCTCAATCTAACTATGATGTCACCAATAAATATCAATGGATCTGGGTGCTCAGGGCCTTTGCTTGTTCAGCCTTGCTGCATGAACATTAGTCATCCTGGCTCCAGTTTTTCTGTCTCTTTAATTCTGTCTTTGCGATTTTCTTTTAACCTTGTGTTGTAGCACTGAGCAGGAGTTCCGACAGGCCTCAGGGTCTCTGATAGAAGAGAGAGAAATTGGCTAGGAAAGAGAGGGTCATAGAAATGGAAAGGATTATGCTGTTGGAATTTTGATTGGAATTGCATGAAAGCAGTATAACAATTTTGGAAGTATGGCCATTTTCACTATATTGCTTCTTCTTACCCTAAAACAAGGGATATCTTTGCATTTTCTGATATCCTCTTTGATGTCTTTTTTCAGAGTAATGTTGTTTTCAATGTAGAGTTCTTTTACTTCCTCCAATAGATTGATTCCTAGATATTTCATTTTTTGGATGCTATTGTGAAAGGGGTTGTTTCTCTAATTCTTCTCTCAGTGTGTTTGTTATTTGTGTACAGGAATGCTATTGATTTTTGAGTGTTGACTTTGTATCCAGCTATGCTGAATTTGGTTTTTAAATCTAGCAGTCTTTTGGTAGAGATTTTGGGTTCTTCTATGTAGAGTATTGTATCATCTGCAAACAATGATATCCATTGTTGTGTTTCTCCTTTTGTATTGATTTAGTGGAGAAAGTGTGCCTCAGCTTCCCAGAATGTCCTCTCTTTGCTATGTTCAAAGCTATCTTTTTCTTATATAAGCAATAATCACCAAAAATAGGCATGGTGACAATACCTGTTCACACCTAAAGACTCAGTTCTCTTTGGAGAATTTTAAAAAAGAAGAATATGTATTCCTCATTAATTCTAAGGGAATAGAAAGCATAGCAATTTAAATATAATGTAAGCTTAAACAAATGTAAAGCCCACGGAAATAAAAATGTGTACTTGCAATCCTATTCTTGAGATAGCTAATGTTAAAACAATTGCTGTATATTCTTTTGAAATTTTTCTTCACTTGCAGCACATAAATAACTTGAATCAAATATATGCCTCCCTCGCCTTGATGCATTACACACACACACACACACACACACACACACACACTTTAATGTAATGAAACTACACATATTATTTTACAGCTTACTTTTAAAATTTAAAATTAAATGGTGAACCCATTTCCAAATTTGCACGTTTATTGTGGTTTATTTAAAATAAAAATGCTGCATAATATCCTATAGCAGTAGTGGTGAACCTATGGCACACATGTTATTTGTTTTTCTATTAAGACAAAAGATTTTGATGTATAAATTGTTTTTTCTAAACTAAAAATATGGTATTCAGGTTGAATTGCAGTGTTGGCACTTTGCAAGAAATAACTAGGTTTTTTGAGTTGCAGTTGGGCACTTCTCTCTAAAAGATTTCCCATCACCATCCTGTAGAATAGCCAGACCATAACAGGTGACCAATCTCCTGGTTTGCGGGCATGTAAGGTGTATGCAGCTGTTTGTTACAGAGCTGCACAGTGCCTGTCATTATGCAGTGGTTCTGCTGGCATTTCAATAGACCTGATTTCAATCAGTAGAATTAAACATCCTATTCAAAAATGTCTGCATTTTAAAACTTGGTAGAAACTGAAAAAAAAAAGTTTGTTCTAATGACATTCTTAGAAAAATCTGTGTTTTTCATTTGATTTTTAGTATAAAACAGAATTTTTTAGTGGCTTGCTTGAAATATTACATTTCTCCTACCTATTCATATTTTCTGCTTAAACATCCTGCTTCTTTAATACCACTAAATGGCCCCACTGCCACTTACTTCAGTCCCTTGAGTGGATGTGAGGAGGCAGCTGCACACTCCTCCCAGAGATGCTCTTATGGCAAACCGATGATCTGGTGTGTCAGGCCATGACCTTCTGGGTGCCACATGGGCTCTGTAAGGGCACTTATTTACCTTATTTAACACTCCCCGAATAG